TACCATACAGAATATAAAATTCTACAGATTTTATAAAAATGATGAAATACTCCAGAGATTGGTGTCTGTTCTAGATCATAATGATGTTCAGAGAATCTTAGTTTTATTTAAAAAAGAAAAAAAAAAAAAGGATCTGAGTACCCAGAGGACAGTTCTTCCTCAGAAAAATATAAAGTAAAATTGGAGAATTGTATTTGTATCACCGGAGATTAAGTTACATAAGTAGTCAGGCTATATGTGTTTTCAGATGACACTTTAATGGCAGTGTGAACTTTATCAAGTTACTGAATTTCTCTGAATCTATTTCCTCTTCTGCTAAATAAAGAAGCCAAGCACATGTGTCTGGGGCCGGCTGTCTGGCTGTTGTCAGTGCAGGTCTGCGGTCACGGTGAGGTTCCAAGTCTCAGTAGCTCTGCTCGCCCAGGGACAGTGATCTGGTCCCTGGCACATGGTGTGCGGGAGAAAGAAAAGGGAGAACAGGGAGAAAGGAAGGCTTCTGCTCTTCCAGCCCCTTAAAAATCATCTTAGTGGTTGTCAACTTGACCCAATATTTAAGTTAAAAAAAAAAAAAAAGTAAACAAAGGAGGAAAGGGAAAAGACCAGAAGCCGCTCTCAGCAGGAGCACAGGCCCCTCCTGGATCCCAGGCTCAACCTCACTTTAAAGATGAGATTCGAAGATTCGTACCAGAGTTTCCACAGCAGCCTCGGCTGCCCGACCCTAGCTGGGTGCGCAGCTGAGCTGCGGACTGCAGGGACCTGGAGGGGGCTCGGGCCTCCGCACATGCTTCTTTGCAGCCTCTCGCCCTCCCAGCTATGTCTCCCGGGGCACCACCTGCATGAGCTTCTGACACAGGACGGTGGTGGAGAAGATGCCCTGGAGAAGCCACTTGGGCTCAGTTCCTCAATTCCTCATTTCCAAGTGTGGGAGCCAAGCTGCAGAGCGCTGGCCATGCTCCATTCACTTCAACCAGCAAATCGTCAAATCACAGTAACAGACTGATGTCTTCTTGCTCAAAACACAGCCAATTGTGTCATCACCTCTTCCCACCCCTACCTGTCCATACCCACTGTGTGGAGTCTCATAGGGTACAGAAGAAAGGAAACTGTGAGAAAAAGAAAAACAGGGGAGAAGGATTGGAGGGGAATAGGTGAAGAGGAAAATTAGATTCCAGGACAGCCTCCTTCATGACACTTCCCCTGTGCAGTCTGGAGTAAGCACTCTGAGCCTAAATGACGCACTGCAGGAATTGAAGGTTACACAAGAATTGAAATGTCAATTCAGGAGTCATTACCCATCTGTACCCCACGGTTCCACTCCCCCACAGTGATATGGACTGGCTCACAGGACCCTGAATTATCCCTATAATGTAGTTAGTTTGAATTTTTCAACCCCAGTCCAAAATCAGGATCAATATCATATCATGCATTTCACAAGAAAGCGAATACCCATGGGAAAAAAAGGGCTCCATATCAGCAAGTCATACACTTACAATTTTTACATATAGCCTTTTACATATCTCCCTTATTTTCTTATTTTAAATTGTGTCAATTCACATTTATCTCAAAGGCAACCTTAAAATGACATTGTCACACCAGTTAGAATGGCAATCATAAAAAAATCTGGAGACAACAGATGCTAGAGAGGATGTGGAGAAATAGGAACACTTTTACACATTGGTGGGAGTGTAAATTAGTTCAACCATTGTGGAAGATGGTGTGGCGATTCCTTAAGGATCTAGAGACAGAAATTCCATTTGACCCAGCAATCCCATTACTGAGTATATATCCAAAAGATTATAAATTGTTCTATTATAAAGACAAGTGCACGGGTGTGTTCATTGCAATACTGTTTACAATAGCAAAGACCTGGAATCAATCCAAACGCCCATCAATGATGGACTGGATACAGAAAATGTGGCACACGTATACCATGGAACACTATGCAGCCATGAAAAAGGATGAGTTCATGTCCTTTGTAGGGATAGGGATGAATCTGGAAACCATCACTCTCGACAAACTGTGACACAAGAACAGAAAACCAAACACTGAATGTTCTCACTCATAGGCGGGTGTTGAATAATGAGAACACATGGGCACATGGAGGGAAAACATCACATACTGGGGTCTATTGGGGAGGGTGGGGGGCTAGGGGAGGGACACTGGGGGGTGGGAGGTTGGGGAATGATAACATTGAGAGAAATGCCTGATGTAGATGATGGGGGGATGGATGCAGCAAACCACCATGGCATGTGTATACCTATGCAACAATCCTGCAAGAGCTGCACATGTACCCCAGAACTTAAAGTACAATAATAAAAAAAAAAGACACTGTCAAATGGCATTTCCGAAATGCCAGCATAGTTTTAACTACCAACTCTATGCTTACAACTTGGAATTCTCTTGGTTTAGCCCCGACTCTGCCTCACATATCCAACAGGCTGGACACAAAGATAAACTTTGGCTTACCCTTTGTCTCCTATGTTGAAAATGTCTAGAAACAAACTTGACAACTACCTTCCATATTCCCTATTTCAGTAAATGGCACCAACATTTTCCCAAACACTCAGACTAAAAATCCGGTGACTACAGCACTCTACTGCCTAAAACCATCATGAGCTCCTCATTGCCCTTAGAATAAAACCTGGGTCTGCAGGACTGTAAAAAGCCCTCAAGTTCTCATTTCTCTACCAACTTTCCCTTTTACCAAATCCTTCCTTACTTGTGCATTCTAGTAATTTCAAACAGAGTCTGGTCCCATGCATAGATCCTGTCCCTCTGTTCCTTCTGTTAGGAATGGCCTTCTCATCTTTCTTTACCTGCAAGCCTATTTTTTAGGATCAAACCCATGCACAGGTCAGGCACAGTGGCTCATGCCTGTAATCTCAGCACTTTGGGAGGCCAAGTCAGGCAGATCATGAGGTCAGGAGTTTGAGACCAGCCTGCCCAGCATGGTGAAACCCCATCTATACTAAAAACACAAAAATGAGCCAGGGACAGTGGCATGTGCCTATAATCCCAACTACTCAGGAGGCTGAGGTAGGAGAATCACTTGGCCCTGGGAGGCGGAGGTGGCAGTGAGCCGAGATCATGCCACTGCACTTGAGCCTGGGCAACAGAGCAAAACTCCATCTCAAAACAAAAAAACACGAGTATTATGATCCAATCACCTCATACAATGCATGAGGCCTACATCACCACCACTGTGAAGAGCCACATCACCCTAATTAAAACATCCAACAGACCTCTCCCCAGCTTTCTCATCATCTGTTTGGCACACAGAGGCCACTCACTAGTTGTGAGCTCTTTTATTACCATTGTATTGGTAGCGATGATAATGAAGAACACGAGCATGTATAATGGATAATAGAAAAAATAACCTCAAGAGAATAGTGTTCACAAAATGTTTGGGAAATCCTCTGGAGCACAAGAGATTATCAGAAGAGGGAAATCCTTCTGCAATGGGAATTAGCAGCAGGCTTTCCCCAGTCAGTCTGGAGAAGCCTTTGAAAAGTTGCACAGTCATAATTAAATGGGGCAGCTCTTTTATCTCCCTTTGCTGGCAAACTTTCAGGAGACCAGAGGAGTTTCTATCCATCTGCATGCACCAATCAGGCAGTCAAACTTAACAAGATGTATCTGTGTGTGTCTCTACCTTATGGATTATCAAATAGAACTGGACTGAAAAATCCGTAACTCCATTTTTGCTAAATGATACCTTTCACATAGATTTCTCACAGCTTTCTTTTTCTTTGTCCTATTACATTATGCAACATATGCATTGCATTTCGACTGCAAACTCCATGAAGTCAAATATCATGGTTGTCTCCTTCACTGGGTAGAACCAGGAGTCCAGGTGTCACCCAGTCCCTAACAGACAGTATCTGCTCCATAGTGTTTACAGTCAAATTTGTTTATTATTTATTTTTTATTAATTTTTGAGACAGAATCTTGCTCTGCCACCCAGGCTGCAGTGCAATGGCACAATCTCCGCTCACTGCAACCTCTGCCCCCCAGGTTTAAGTGATTCTCCTGCCTCAGCCTCCTGAGTAGCTAGGATAACAGGAGCACACCACCATGCCTGGCTAATTTTTGTATTTTTAGTAGAGACTGTTTCACCATGTTAGTCAGGCTGGTCTCGAACTCCTTACCTTGTGATCCACCTGCCTTGACCTCCAAAAGTGCTGGGATTACAGGCGTGAGCCACCATGCTCAACACAGTCAAAAATTTTTGAATCTATTAAGTGATATTCAATTACAGACTATACTGCAGAATAAATTGAGTATAAAACCTGTCAAAGGATTAATGCACGAAATAACTCTGCACACTGTATTACCCTGTTTTGTAATAGATTAATATAGCTGTCCTAATGGTAACTGTTCATTGTCAACAGCTCTGCTAGTTTTATAGTCTGAGTTGAACTGAGTAGCTCACTAGAGCTAATGGTGCTCCTGGGTGAGGAATTACACCAATTTTAAAAGAGTGGGTGCACTCTTGTCTCTAGTCTTTGCCAACTTCGTGAATTCTCTGGAGGTTTTCCAAGCTACTAGTAGGAGCACTGCAAACATAACATACTTTAAAATGCACATTCAGTTTCTTTTATAGTGTCTGCGAGAATTAGAAATCTTGAAAACAGGGAAATATGTATTTTTATTTTTTTATTCCTTACTTTTTAAATTTTTGTGGGTATACAGCAGATCCATGTATTTATGGGGTACATGAGATGTTTTGATACAGGCATGCAATGTGAAATCAGCACATCAGGGAGAATGGGGTATCCATCTCCTCTCTTTGTAACACAAAGCATTTATCCTTTGTGTTACAAACAATCTAGTTATACTCTTTACATTATTTTAAAATGCACAATTAAGTTATTGACTATAGTTACCCTATCATGCTATCAAATAGTAGATCTTATTTATTCTTTCTAATTGCTTTTCTTTTATCCGTTAACAATCTCCACCTCCCCCTCCAGAAAAACAGGAATTGAAAGAGCCCTTACCTGAACAGAAGTCATCAGAATATCGGTCGTAGACAGCTCTGCAGTCCCTTTCGTCACACTCACAGGTGTCCCCGTGAATATCTCCCCAGTCCCCAGTCGGATCAACATCGTGGCAGGAACATTCACCACACACACAAGTCCCTGGGTGGGAAGAAGAATTTTAAAAGAATCCAGTCAAGAAAACATGAAAGAAAGCATTTCACATATTGCTTATCATTTTCTGTTGCTTCCTTTGTACTTAAAAAACACATATATTCAGATAAAAATATTCTAAAAAGGAAAAACACCATCTGATATTGATAGTAGAGATTCCTTAATAAATAAAACAAGTTTTTATCTGTGCCTACAAATATGTGAGTTGGTGGAATGTGTCATTAGTATTGTGTTAGTTTCCTTCAAAGATAATAGTAAAACAATTTATATAGGTTATAATCCCTTCCCTCAAGAAGCTTGCAGTCTATTTGGCAAAAGGAAAGCTAATTAGAAAGAAAAATGAGCAAACACTAAAAGCAATGTGCGAAAATTTTGTAAACTAAGACATGAATGCTATAAGCATTTGGAGGAGAAGATCAAGGAGAGTTGGAGTAATTAGCAGTGGATGGACTGGAGATATAGGAATTAGAGGAAATGTCCTAGGGGACATTGGTGGCAGAACTAAGGGAAGGTCAAGGAAAGAAGACTAAGCAAAGAAGGGTGGGGATGGGCATAGGGTCCCTCCAGTGCATGTTAAGAAAAGACTAAGAAGTAAGGTTTGCTAGATCAGACGAGCCCAGATTACAGAGGAGGTCAGATTGAGAGATATAAACTTGGTCAGTTGCAGAATTGCAGAGGGAAATGCCCAACTGTAAATCATATTTACTTTGTGTGGATTATCAGTCACTGTCTTTAGGGCAACCAGCTAATCATTTGATAGAAACATAAAGTTAAATCCTTTTCTTACCTCTTACATCAAAATAAGTATCAGTTGGATTAAAGAGTTAATTGTACAAAATATAACCATAGAATATGAATTAAACTCTTTTTATTCAAAACTACCAAAACACAATTAGGATTAAAGATTTAAATGTACAAAACAAAACCACAGAATAAAAATTAAACTTTTTGTTCAAAACCTCCAAAGCACAATTACTAAAAAAGGAAATTGAAAACTTCCTTAAAAGTTGAAAATTTTGGTTGGAAACAAAATACTATGAAAAAAAAAAAAGACTGATAAAGGTGAAACAAGTAGTTAATCTGTTTCTTAATCTGAGACTTGTTTACCTGGCTGTGTTCAGTTAGTAAAAATTCAAAGAGCTGAATGATTATGTAGACTTTTTTTGGTATTCACACAGTAATTCAATAAATTATTTTTAAAATGTAAAAGGAGGTGGGAAGAGACAGCATGGGGAGAAATGACAGATACAGGTGAGGGGACGGAAGGCAGCAAACCACACTGCCATGTGTGTACCTATGCAACAATCTTGCATGTTCTTCACATGTACCCCAAAACCTAAAATGCAATAAAAATAAAATAAATAAAATAAAATAAAACAATTTAAAAAGACAAAGAACGCTTTCAAAAACATATAAATAAGTCTTAGGATTCTATATAAAAAGGATTAATATTCCCAATCTGAAATAGACAAAAGCAAAGAACAAAAGGGAATTTCATACAGAAATTACGATAAACGTGAAAAATGTTCATCACTCAACTGACTACTCCTGGGCAGGTAGCAGTGGGAGATCTTCAAAACAATTGTGATTGGCAATTATTTTGTATGTCAGATTGTCAGAGGTGAAAAATATTGCTTGAATACAAACTTGTTAAAGGTGTGGGACAATGGACATTTTCTTGCTCTGAAGTGATACACGAAATGGTACAACTTTCTGGGTAGTGATTTTACAATATGCACTTTTTTTTTTTTTTTTTTTTTTTTTGAGACAGAGTCTTGCTCTGTCACCAGGCTGGAGTGCAGTGGCACGATCTTGGCTCACTGTAACTTCCGCCTCCCGGGTTCAAGCAATTCTCCTGCCTGAGCCTCCCACGTAGCTGGGACTACAGGCATGCACCACCATGCTCAGCTAATTTTTGTGTTTTTTAGTAGAGATGGGATACTTTTTATATCAGTGTTATTATTTAGCTTTATAGCTCACTTTAGTTAATGTACCCAACAGAAAGAAAAAGTACATGTAAGTATGTGTTCAGAAATATAAAATATAGTTGTATTGACATTTTAAAAAAACTACTAGTGACCAAAATATTGATCAATGGAGAATGAGCGCAGTAATGGTACACACATATTATGGACTACAATGCAATCACTGAGTAATATTTAGGTTTTTGCTCCATAAACATGGAAAAATAAGCAACATATATCATGAAATAAAAGTGTAAAATTACAAATCAGCATGTACAGTATGATTCTATTTTTTTTTTCTTTAGTAAGAAGGAAATACAGGGATAGGGCAGCCACACAAGTGAATTTTAATAAATAAATACAGACTGAATGCTCATGTACCAAAATGTAAAAGGAGGTTATACCTGGATGTTAGGCTTATGGGCCATTTTCTTATTTTTCTGTGTACTCTACTTTAGTATTTAGATTTTTGAAAATGGATATGCATTGCTTTCATAATAGGATAAATGGGTTTGGTCAGGAGGAACAGGGACCAGGAGCCACACAGATGTGACAAAGCAGCAGCTTCTCAGCCACGTATTAAAGGGGTCCAATACGAAACTCAGTAACCAGGTGAGCAATGGACGACATTTGTTCTGTTAACAGTTGTGTCTGCAACATTGGTTTTTTTGGCCCTTGAAGGTGGGGATAAAGGAAGGCAAGATAGGTATGTGTGGGAACCAGAGTCTTTCTGTTACCTAGGGATGCAATGATACAGAAATGCTTTCAAGGTAGACAGGAGTATCATCTTTTAAGAAAAATTAAAAAAAAAATGACTCATCTCAGCGCCCACTTCTGCCCTATCTTCAAGTATCCCTGATTCTCAGAAGCTGAGAGCCTCACTTGGGCAAGCCGCTTCTCATTCTGCCTCTGCCAGATCTCCAGGTCAGAACGCTCCAGGACAGGGAAGTGGGAGGCAGGAGGCTTAGAGTATGTTTCTGAAGGACGCGTCTCCAACAGCCAGCATAACTCTGCTGCAGAACCTGATTTAATCCACAGCCCAACCAATTCCATTTTCTACCTCTGTCTCGTTGACAGCTGAATAGTCATTTTCCACAGTACCACAGTTCAAGCTTCATATACTTACAAAAGGTGAGTGTGAATCCCACTGCATAAAAAGGACTTATGCAGAAAACACAGCCTTACATATGAAAAGAAAGCATAAGGTAAATTAGAATGATATATAGTAAGATTTAGTTCCCATAAAGAGAGGACTTTATGATTTTGCTCTAAGTTCCTGTATTTTTTTTATTTATTTTCTCTATGTAAAGAAATGTGGCACATTTTACTTCTCCATGTCAATTTCTAAAAGATGGTATGCTGTGGTTATTAAAATGCATCATTCATTTATAGAAATGAAAAAAAGTTTTCCAGCTATCTAGATTTTTATAGTTTTAAAGAAGAAGAATATTCACTTTTTAATTTCATCGAATAGGCAATAAAAAGTTTAGGATGGCCCTCTTTATCATTACAGCAAAGGGAAAATTAAGTATTTTCAAGGAATTTTAAAACTATGTTTAATCTGTTTGATTTGATATCAACAGTTACTTAACTACCTTTAAGTTACAGTTTAGCAATATTAATGTATTTGTTAAACTCCTTTGTAAAGTCAGTCTACATTTCATATGGCTATTGGATACATACTTTCCATAGCTATTGTGTTCCATATCACATTTTTGTTATTGTATACAAAAGTTAAATTAGTCCATATCAATTCTGCATTTCAACCAAGCCTTCCATTTACTCATAATTAAGACAAGAGTGTTTTCTGAATGCTCTCTGGATAATTAGATGCTCATGCCGTAGTTGGTTCTGTTAGTCAAGAGACATTTAACAGAAGTATCTACAAGAATTGCCTTTTATCTGTACTGTGCTATTTCTGGAGGGCCGCCAAAGAAATTATAGTCCCTAAGTTAACTGTTTGTTCAGTGAAGCTTAAAGAATGACAGCAAGTTTCTTATCTTTTTCTTCTCTACTTAATAAAATACAAGACAGAAAAGACTGTTGGAATAGTAAATGTTGACTTATATCAAAGTAAATGATTAGAAGATAACTTCCTCCCCACTAGAGGAAATACAGAGAAAAGAAGCGTTAACAATTAAAAGCTTTGTTTGCCTCCCCATTACGTAGTAACATGTATGAATGACACACCTCTGTTACTGCAGATTTTGCCATCTGGAGACGTGCATCTTCGCTTGCTTTCCCAGGGGGTGATATCGCACTGGAATTCACATTTATCTCCATGCCAACCAGCCTTGCAGTAGCAGTTTCCACAGTAACACTTCCCATGGCCTTCACCCAAAATGAATTTTATACAGTGAGGAAAAAAGCAACTTTCACAAGCAGAATTAACTTTCTATCTCTTTGTGATCATTTTTGCCTTCTGAAATAATGTCAAAGCTCTACATCCCTTGCCCAAAATAATCAAATTATACAGCTTTCTCCAAGCACATCATAGTTGTGCTTATACCTGCTTAATTACACAAAAAGAGCAAAGTGCCCTTTAACTCGGCCTAGACAGGGAGGTGATTAAAAGTATTTTTAAAGAAATGACATGAATGACCATGAAAGTCTGTTACTTTTCCATCTCAAATGCATGCATTGAACCCAAATAGATGTGAGCATTCACTCTAAGGACGTTTCCTGAATTTGTTATTAAAATATTTCATTTGAAATCAGCTAGTGAGAAACCAGTGGTGCATATTTACTGAGCTCCACATTATGAATGGTCAAACAACTTTTTGAAGCAGAAGAAATATTTCACCTTTTCCCTCAACTCTCAGCTGTGTCTCACAAGCTATTGTGTTCCACCATGTGAAAGAGACAGGTTTTCAGCCTAGTCTCTGTTTAATCATCATTTAGACAAATAAAACACCATGGACCCTTGGCTTCACAATCAAATTCCCATTCTACTTGTCAAGAGGATACAAATGACAGGTAAGGACACTCATCATTTTGTGTCCAGATGCCCTCCTTTCAGCTCCCACCTCCGTGTAACCTCTTACCTGCCCATCTGCACTTGCCTCCAAGCCATCTGTAGTAAATTATCACATCAATGCTTTCCTCATCCATATCTAGCAATCCTTCTGCAAATTCCCCAAAGATGGTATTTATCCCAAAATATCATCTTTGTAATTATACCACCTAAGTATAAATGTATGTCCTTGTTCCCGTTTTGTTTTTAGTCTATTCTCTTTGTGTTACAGGAGTTTGTGTTTTATCAGTCTACGGCTAAAGTCTTTTGTTCTTTCCATCCCTCGTCTCTTAAAGCCAAAATCCCCAAAAGACTACACAAAACTGATTATGAGATTACTTTTCATTATCTTCAAAGCATATTTATCATTCTAATGCTATGGTATCTCTGGCCAATGGCAAGAACATTATTAGGATCTGTAAAACTCACATAAGAAGCAGGAAATACAACAGAATATTCTGGTCTCCTATGCTAGTCATGTCCAGGAGATGAGACTTCCATCAAGAAGGCATACCTCCAAGAGACAGAGACAGAGAGATGAACAATGAACAGAAAGAGTGCTATAGTGAGACAGAGAGAATGAGACAGGGGCCCAGTGCCATGTTTTTTGTCTAAATAAGTTATAATTGAGATATTCAAAGAAAATCACTTCTTAACCTAACAATCAATGACCATTTCCACAATGAATTTAAATTTTAAATTTGTTTACTTAAACAAATACAAAGTCTGCCAAGTGATTTAGTGATTTAATCTACATATTTTATTGATGAACTTAAAATGGTGTCTAATCGTACACACAATTGAATCACATCCTAGTGATATATCACAGGCCTTAAGAACTCAATGATTACACTGAAAAAAAAAAAGCAATAATGTATACTGATTGCTTTCTTTAGGAGTCATGTTTGTAAGACTCAATCACCTTTTTAGATTACAGAATTTATTTTCTCTGTAATTTCAGAAAATTTATACAGACGGTGTTACATATGTAAGGATTACTATGTTAACAAATGATCAAAAATCTCTATTTCTCACCTCCAAATTCTTTAAATATTTCTACAATTCAGTATTGAATTAGGGTTTTACTAAGAAACTTTCGAGTTAGAGGTAAATAAGGAAGCAAAAATTATGGAACAATATACCTGTATGCAGATATGGAAAATTAAACAGATATCCACATAACTCAAACAAAAATATTGAACAAGACACATCTGAATAATTGAGATTAAAATGTGTGCTTTAGGACAACACACATTCCAGATAATAAACATAATTCTTTGCTTTGTGCAAACTGATAGAGCAAGAAAATCTCTATTTGTCCTGCTTCACTAATGAACTGTAGAACCATCTCTCAGCAGATTGGTTTCATGTGAATGACACATGGAAAGATTTACAATCCCAGGCAATGTCACCCCCAGAGGGTGTTTACTGGAGTGCTGGTGTCCTTGGTCAGAGACTTTGCACCATGAAATTGCTTAAGCCTCAAACAAATGGAAATAACAGCTAGAAAGGTTGAAAGTTAAATAGTTTCTGTTGTGTTGTTTCAAGTTACATTTTTCTATTTATACATGCAAATAGACTCTGCCTTGGTGGTGTCTAAACCACAGACTGGCCCTAAAGTATGTTCCCTTTCTTTTTTTCCTTCATCTATAATAATTGGAAACTAAACATCTAGAGGACAAATATATAATATTTGTGGATGAATTTGTCTAACTGATCTAATTATTTTTGGACTGAGCCCTTTAGGGGAGAATTGTCTTAGCAGCATCTAGCTTAGGTCATTGACTTGGAAAAATGAAAATAAGATTTTGGTGTTTGTTTTATCCAGGTGGGTTGTGTAGCCAGGAGACCAAGGAGGAAGGGCCAACCAGGCCTAAAATAAATATATTTGGATGACTCAGAGGAATTGAAGCTACAGAAATGTAAACAAAGGAAAAAGCTTGTCATATGCTAGCCACACTTCCTCAGGGGTCTCTGGTTCCACCTGGCCCCATTGGGCTCTAATTCTTCCAGAAAAACAATACTTCCAAAACTACCATTTCTGCCTGCAGAGCAGTATTCCATCCCTGGAATCCCATCAGATAGGAGTGAAATATAAGTTTAATCACAGCAGAGAAGAATTTACCTAAACCGAGTAATTCTCACTACTTTCTACTTTCCTTTTCCTGTGCCAGTCAGGGTTGCAAATGGAAACTGCGGGCACAGGCTTGCAGGCTGGTGAGCAGAAGAGAGAGACTCCTCTTGTGGAGCTCTGAGCTCCAAGGCACTGATGCAGTCGTGAGTGGTGAAGCATTAGAAACACGGACTTTGGCGTCACACAGACATGAGCCTAAACTCTACTATCATTGGTGAACTGAACCCGGGTTCATTACCTAATTTATCCAAGTCCCAGGTTCCAAATCTGTCTATGTGGATAAACATAATTCTTACCCTAGAGTGATATTAGGAGGCAAAACATAATGAATGTAAAGTAATTATTATAGAATTTGTCACCAGCAAATATGCAAGAACTGGCACGACAGAAAAATGAATGGAGGAAAGGTGATACTAGAAAAGGAAAATGTTATCTAAACATGCAGGGACAGAGATGGGGAGGTAAACTCTAGGCCAGGCGTCCCCAGACTTTTTACACAGGGGGCCAGTTCACTATCCCTCAGACTGTTGGAGGGCCGCCACATACTGTGCTCCTCTCACTGACCACCAATGAAAGAGGTGCCCCTTCCTGAAGTGCGGTGGGGGGGCGGACAAATGGCCTCAGGGGGCCGCATGCGGCCCGCGGGCCATAGTTTGGGGACGCCCGCTCTAGGCCAATAATCTTGTTGACCTTCAGTGTCCCCAGTAGGACATGAGACTATCGAAAGGTTCATGTTTCAGAAAGCGAAAAAGAAAGAAATGAAAACACACACTTAAAAGAGAAGGAGAAAGAAGAATAAAAGTGGCTAAGGTGAGCAGAGGAGATGGTATTCCACCGGGACTACTTCAGAACTATGCAGTCGGCCTCTTGCCAGAATGACACAGCTCTCCTCTGGGGACAATTTGGCTTTGCATTTACAAAGTACTAGTCTACCCTTAAGGTCACAGTCTCACCTTCCTTATGTGAAATATTTTCCAGATAAACCTAGGTTTAAATTGAATTAGTACATCTAGCACAGAAATTGATGTATAGATAGAGGAACAATGAAATAGGTGAAAAACCAGATACTTTTTTTAATTTCTAGAGTCAATATACATACCTCCACATATTTCTTCCGTTTCATCATCTATGCATTCTCTATCATCACACTCGCAAAATTTACCATACACAAGTCCACTTCCATCTGAATTATCACACTTACACCTGCCACAGTGACATGTACCTAAATCAATAAAACAAAAAAAGATTGTTATATGCATATAAAATTACAATTAATGAATTTTTATACCATCTCTAATATTTCGATTAGGTATTTCTGTGTGTCTGATGAGGTAAAGGGCATGCTATTCTTTCTCGAGGTTATTTTAGCATGGCAATTGTATTTTATATCATGCAGCTATTATTATTGACCTCTAATCATTTATTGAAGGTAAATTTGACTGCTTCTAGTGCAGAGCTACTTTACACATAGCCATCCAACCAATGCCCAAATGTCTTTTGATCACACCTGGGTCTGATGTGAAATAAAGCAGAAAAATCTAAACTTTGTAAGAAAAGAAACCTTGCTTATCTTCCTCGCCAGTATTTATTCAATGCTTTGCACAATGTTTGAACATACTATTTATGTAATAAATATTTGTGGAAATCATTTATTGTCAAATGCATAAGTAAAAATCATATATGCCCCTGATAATTTCCCCTCCTCAGCATTAACTTGTGCTGATACACATGTCCTTATAATAATGGGACCAGAGTGGATTTCCTTAGGCATGGATTCCTAGGAATCCTTACCAGATTCTCAGGGGAACTCAGAATTAGAAAGGTACTGTAGTCATCTGGTCTACTACAAGCCACATAGTCATCCAAGTCTGAAGATTCTACCGCATCCCCCATAAGTAATTTCACCAATATTAATATTGCATTCACCAATATTAATATTGCATTCAAATAATATTGAGAGATAGAATGCCCACTTGAGAAACTTCCTTTTTCATGTATATATTTTGAGTTTCAATGTTCATCATAGCCATCAACATGTCTCTACTGAGACTTGATCACCACGAGAAACCACCCTGGACTCTGAAAATCCAACAGGGACGACATCAGCCATAACCTTCCTCTCAGAGTTTTATATGAGTAAAAAACAATGCGATAAAATAAATACAGAAGTGCAAAGTGTTGCAGAAGCACATAGCAAGGGGATTTAACTGAGACAAGGAAGTCAAAGTCACAGTCCCTGAGGAAGTAGCTGAGGCCAAGTGAAAAAGCATAGCTAAGAGAAGTGAGATGGCGAAGAGGCTCACTTCCACCACGAGACAATAGACGGGCTCAGCGAGAATAGAGGAGGTGAAGAGAAAACATCACATGGGTTTGAGGTATACAGAACAGTGTGAAAAGTGGAATGAAATGAAGAAAGCAACTCGAGGTGCAGTTCATGGAAGTCTTATAGGTCATGTTAAAGATTTCCAGCTTTAATCCAACAATAATTGGAAGACACAGAAGCAATGGAGTCCAGTGATCAGGTATGATTTTCAACCAGATTACTCTGGTTGTCATATGGAGAATGAACTGAAATGAGGCAAAAGTGGATACAAGGAAATAAGTTGAAAGGCTGTTAGATTTGTCTGCAGGAATGAAGTCAGTGGCTAGACACATGAAGCGATGAGTTTATAAAGAAACAAACACATTTGGGGATATTTTTAGGAGAAAGAGTAGAAGGCATTTGGTGACTGAGTGTAAAGGGTGAAGGATGGGGAGGAACCAAAGATGCTGTTGATAATTTGGGTTGAATTACTAGATATTGGCAAATCTATATGTGATGTATTAGAAAGAGCATGAACTTGTAACTAAGGTGGAGCTGTAGCTGAATTCAGAGTCTGTTTTTTGTTTGTTTGTTTGTTTGTTTGTTTTGTTTTGTTTTTACTTTTTGAGATGGATTCTCACTCTGTCACCCAGGCTAAAGTGCAGTGATGTGACCTCAGCTCACTGCAACCTCCATCTCCCGGGTTCAAGTGATTCTCCTGCCTCAGCCTCCCAAGTAGCTGGAATTACAGGTGCACACCACCACGCCAGGCTAATTTTGTTATTTTTGGGAGACACGGTGTTTTGCCATGTTGGTCAGGCTGATCTAAAACTTCTGACCTTGTGATCAGCTTGCCTCAGCCTCCCAAAGTGCTGGGATTACAGGCATGAGCCACCACACCTGGCCTCAGAGTTTTAATCCTCATGAGCTATGCATTTTTTAGGGCACTGCTTTCATTTCTAATTCCCAGATTCCTTATAAGCAAATAATCTCTGCTTCATAGAACTGCTGCCAGGACCAAGCAATGAATATGTCCCCAGTCATGTTTCTAGAAGCACTGCTGAATCTAGTTCATAGGACTCGAGAAGATTCAGGGTTCTTCCTCTTATCTCATCAAGATACAGAGTATATTAGTCATATTTCCAAACATTTTCTCCAGGAAATATATTTATGGATGCTGACAATATCCTTGTTTTCATATCCTCTCTCTGATTCTGTTACCTAGAACACTTGCAACTATTATCTATAAATTTTTCTCGCACAGTTACATATAAATGGTGATTTTGCAGAACTTGAGTTTATTTTTTTACTTTGCAAATACTCATGAGAATTTTCCTGTTATTAAACTTAATTTTCTTTTATTTTTTTTCTAAAAGCTATCTCAATTCATAAAAGTAATTTGAAATCTAAGCTATAATTCATGCTATTGCTTCATATAGTTTTTGTTCTCTAATTATTATCCTTCTTTTTCATTTTCACATTTATTCATTCTGTCTCCCAGCCACCCACATATCCAACCATTAAGCTTTCTTGTTATCTATCTATGTTATTGGCAAGGAACTAGGTGCTATAGAAAATAATGAGATGCTTAAAGTTAAGTAGATCACAGAGCAGAAAAAAGAGATACCTTATCAATACGTTTTGTATAGCAGTTGCCACAAGTCTATTGCAAAAGCCTTTGTGTCATGTTTTGTTTTATAAATACAAATATAAATCCATATGATATAGTATGTGTAACCATATATAATATGGGCCTCTCATCTATAACGTGAGAGCAGAAACTCACTTGGTTAGGGCTGTGTATGGGGAAGTTTTTTCAGAAAAGATGGGAAGCAACAGCCTCTGCCTCTGAAATCTACGACTCCTCACTGAAGTCCCCCACAGGCAGCTCTCTCTCATCCACACCTCTAAACCATTCCTGGCTGATGTGGGAAGTTTACAACAGCTCAGAGACTTCCTGTCTCACCCATCAAGCAGGATTCACAACTGAGCCTCTAAGACATGGCATATGGGTGCCCAGGCAAAAGCTCCAGACTCCTGTGCTCATGCACACGGCTTCTCTTTCGGTTGCCAGTTAACTCAGCCTTTAGGATTGGTCTTCTGCCTTACACTAGTATTTTAGCTCTGATTCTTCACAGTGCCCAATAGACCTCACTCTTTCTAGGATGACCGACCAGACATATACACCAGCCCGCACCCCTGTGCAATGGCGCTAGGGCCTCATCCTGCTCTGCACATTGGACCTCACCCTTCTAGATTTCCCACAAAGTTAGCTTCCAAAATGCCTTGGTCCCCAGCTCTGTCTCATCCTGCCCTCCAGTCCCATTCCCCAATCCATTTAACTCCTCTTCGCCTTCTGCTCCAGACAACTTCAGAAAACCACATTGCGATATGAAAGGGAAAGATTAGTAGAAAGACTCCATAGGCTATTGCAATTTGGGGGACGTGGTCCTGAATTCAGATGGTGGAAGTGAGTATTAAAATAAAACAGGTGAGAATGAGATTGCCAAAGTAAACATGAAAGGCTTAGATACTTATACAAGAGTAAATTAGATGGAAAAGATTAAATGTAACACTGAATATAAATGTAATCTTTTGGCCAACTGCATTTCTAGTAATTTACCTTGAATATACACCTCCAAAAATATAAAAATATGCTTGCAACAGATCATTCTGTGCAGTATTATTTACAATCCAAAACATTGGCACCTGTCTAAATGATCAAACATAAGGGATAGATTGGATAAATTACATTGCATACATAGAATCCAGTCCGATGTTTTTGAAAAAATAACAAGAAGGATTTCTATGAACTGATTTGGAGTGAATTACAGGAGATTATGTTGAGTGGTAAAAGCAGAGTGCAAAAGAACACTTGGAATGCATGATTATTTTTGCAGAAAAAAAATGAAAAACAGTAACACACAAATATGTCTATGTACCTTTACACAAAAAGAAACGCATGCGCAAAGAGGGCAGAAAGCAAGAAAGTTGGTTATCTGCAAGCTGAGGGTAAGCATGGTGCTAGATTTGATGAAGAGAGTGAGGATTCTCTCAGTATGCTTTTCTGCATAGTTTTGACTTTTAGAAGTATGTTAGTGTTCTATATATTATAAAATATATTAATTAATACAGATGGAAAGGGATTCTAAAACCTAAAAATTGAAAGTGATCTGAAATAAATAAGCTAAATTGTATTTCAAATGAGTACCATCACCACACTAAAAGAGAAGAAAAGAAATCTGATAACTTACAAACAGCATTTGACTACATACCCCAATATTGGGCATGACAAAAGTACAGTGACAGCTGGAGAGTGGAGAGGGGTGGACTGCAAATCCTGATCTCTTTTGGTAGATTTGCTTTGTCTAGTGGTGTGTCTGTAGCACTTATAAAAGTAACTAGAAATGCAGTATAGGATTAAGCAAATAAGTATATATGTTGGTGATGTTGGGAGCCAGGGTTCTCACTGAGAAAATGGAACACGCAAATACGGAATGGGGAAAACAACAAGCGATTCTCCAAGGATGGACTGAAATTAGATGTACTGTTGTAGATCCATGATTTCTAAAATATGCATGTATGTGCATGTGTTCATGCATATCTGCGCTGGTATGTGCATAGGTATTTGTGTATACATACACAGGCATATGTTTACTAGTGTCAAAATAAATAAAAATGGAAATAAGACCTAAAAATTCCCTGAGTAGACTAAGCCAGTTAGGTCTCATAATTGATCCTAACCTTGCCTGATATATAAAAATAAGCGAAACTTACCTTAAGTTATTTCTTGTAAATGTCTACATTGAAGAAAAACAGAACTTAAGCTCTATCAGTCAGAAGCAACCAACAAACTTATAATTATATAACTAGGGACTTTCCAACAGGATAGATCAAATAAAGCAACTGTATAACGTTAACCAACCAACTGTTTTTCTTTGCTTTCTTTTTCTGTTCATCCTATAAAAGCCTCCCACTCACATTGCCTCAGTGAAGCTCCTGAACCACTTCTGATCTGGAGCTGCCTGATTCATGAATCATTGTTTGCTCAGATAAAATAAAAATTGTACTGTGCTTCAATCTACCTTTTTGACACGAGCCTGTTTGCAGAAAGGCCCAAGAAGCGAATACACTTCAGTGGAAATAAGCATCCCTAGTGCTCACAATTTTTATTCAAATATGATTTTCACTAACAGGAATCAGGGCTCTTTGGATAGGCAACTGATTTCAAAGGTACAGTGAAGGTCCAGTATGACCCTGGAATATGTTATTACACCAACAAGTAAATAATTGCAAAAACAAAACAAATAAACAAGGGAGGCATGTCGCAATAACACAAAAGCTAGCCTGATGGGCTCTAATACCTAATCTGAAAAACTCTGTGCACCAGAATAATTATGTACAGAAATGAATAACAAATCACTGAAATAAGAATTGTGCTTCTAGATGATAATAAATCACTAAGTAAATGAAATATCAAATAACTGGTAAATGAGAGCTAATTCTTGTTTGTGATGGAACACTGAGTGCCAACTAGTCAATTCAGAGAGAATGTTAAAGTTCATAAATCATCATTTTCTAATCATCATTGCCAATACTGTGTTAAGTGATTGTCATCAATGGAGGATAAATCTAGGGTAATTTTAGTGAGGAATGTGATACATATATGATTTTAAAGTGTTTCCTCATCGAATGCACTTTTGTGAATAGAGTAAGTGAGAAATAACACAGCTGAGACACCAGACAACACCTGGACCAGCTCATCAAAACTGACATCACCAATATGAGGAGATGGACATCACGTGCTTCCAAATGGAACATTTCAAGAACACAAAACCATTTCTCTAGTGTTTTACCTAAGAATGTGTATTATGAATCAAATAATGGGGAGGCATCAGACAAACCCAAAATAAGTACACTTTTCTTTTTAATAAAATGGTGACAATTTTCTTCACAAGTTTCAATGCTCTAAAGCCAAAGTCTGTGGAAATGGTCCAGAATAAAGAAGACTGAAGAGAGATATAAACTTAACATTTTTCATAGATTGTATCCTGTAAGGAGAGGAAAGTGCTATAGAGGACATTATTGGGTCACTTGACTAAGCCAGATTATGAATGACAGATTACATAAAGGTATTGCATCCATGCTTAAAAAATTAGATAGAGTACAGATGTCCCAGAAAAATCAAATATGTTTTGTCATCTATGGAAACACTTCTATATGTTTTCTACTTTAAGATATGTCAGTGTAATGAATTACATGTTTAGATTCCTTAATATTAAACATCTTTACCACATTTGATTTTAATGTTCTTAAAAAATTCTGGATTTGCAAACAATAAATAAGTACATCCCCAAATAGATTTCAAACCCAAGACAGAATTCAAATCTTGTTACTGAAATAAGTTTGAAATGAATGATTTTTTTCAAGATGAAAGAGGCTATGGTGTGTGTGTGTGTGTGTGTGTTTGGAGGGGTGGGTGTTATGAATTAGAAATAGAGAAATTCTACTAAGAAGAAAGACTGAAGTGCTGGAGAAATATGAGGAGAACACCATGACACCATGAACACAGAAAGGAACCTAACTGCTCTGACCATTTCTCATGATCGCTGACTGATCCACTCACACCTCACTTTGGATACAGTCCTGATTCCTATCAGCAAAACACCTTTACTGAGCTCAGTTTAAACCATGCAATTTGTTGAAATCAGACTGTGGGAAATTCCCAGCTCTGGTTAGAGATGGGCCCTACCAGCAATGTGAGCTTCAAGAGGAAAGATACTCATTCATGTAGTCAAATGCTCACCTGTAGCATTTAGAGCAATGGGTTACACACTCGATCAATATTAAAATCACCCAGAGAGCTTTAAAAAAAATCCACAAAAGTCTAGGCCACACATCAAAACAATTAAAACAGAGCTCTGCTGTACTACATGAGAACTGATATTTTATTACATTCCCCTTGGGATGCTGATGTTTAACCACGGTTGAGAAGAACTGATTTTGAGGTTTCACATGCTCAAATGTAAAAAGAAATATTTAATGATAGTGACACTCACTAAATACCATTGAAACCTAAACTGCAACTCTTTTATATGACTTTCTACTCAATTTTAATAGCATCTCTATAATTTGGAAAAAAATGGTTTCAAATAACTTCAATGAAATAAAAAAATATTTTGATCCAACAAAAATCTTGCTGTGACTGTATCCGTCAATGAGCTCTATAACCAGTATATCTGAAACTTCTATCAAATTTAAAATATTTCATTCTATTTTGTGAAGGTAAAAATTCAAAGCACCCTTGGTCTGTAACAGAAAATAATTAAGTCAGTTTATATAAATCCTTTTTAAGAGATTGAATCCAGTATTCAAAATCACGGCTCACAATTTACATGAAGCATTTTTGGGGGGTTATTTCCAATGAACATCCTGCTAGAAGGAGGCATTTGGAACAGCTGGAAAGTATTAAACTTGCTAGTCGCAGCAAGATGGCATTTTTTCTATTGATTTATCTGAATTTCACTTCTAAAAAATATATTCAAAAGTAGACTCACTCAGAGGTTTGACATTTTTCCATGCCCACATATTTCCATTAAGAACAACACTCAAGAATTTTCACAGAGTATTCAAAACACAATGCATACAGGAAAAAAGTAAGAAGAAGAAAGAAGAAAGAAGAAAGAAGAAAGAAGAAAGAAGAAAGAAGAAAGAAGAAAGAAGAAAGAAGAAGAAGAAGAAGAAGAGGAAGAGGAGGAGGAGGAGGAGGAAGAGGAAGAGGAAGAGGAAGAGGAAGAGGAAGAGGAAGAAGAAGAGGCAGAGGCAGAGGCAGAGGCAGAGGCAGCGGCAGCGGGAGGCGGAGGGGGAGGGGGAGGAAGGAAGGAAGGAAGAAAGGTAGGAAAAGAAAGAAAAGAAAAGAAAGAAGAAGAAAATAATTTTCACAGAGTATACTTCTTACCTGCATTAGAGCAGATGATGTCTTGTGAATTCTTGCACATTTGGTTACTTTTCTTCTTTGTCAGGTCACAGTTAGTTGGGTACTGGCAAGCGTCCCCATACCATCCCTCGTCACACTTGCACTTGCCACAGTTACACTTACCATGGCCTGGGGATTGAACAACATCTAGTCAGACTCAAATTGTTTTCCAAAGATAACCATTATTATAACACATACTAACAGTGACACTGATTTGGGACTGAGCTATAATAAATTTAAACTCATGTATGTCACAGTGGCTGAGGAGTAATGCTATTATATACAATGCAATGGACTATAAGAACTTTATTTCAATAATCAACTGATAAATGATTATAAAAACATTAATTTCTAAAGATATTAGGATAATACATAAAAAGCCTAATAAATCACATGGTCAAAAAATTCAGCACTGAAAAAATATTCTATCCAGCATCTCAGTATTTAAGACACAGAAGTCTAGCAAAAAATATTTCTACTTAACTATATCTTATATAACACATTAAACCACAAACTTTGAGTAAGGGTTCTTACATGAAACTCTCCTAAACTAAACACCAGCCTTATAGTTACTCAAATTAATATGTACTTAAAGTTATGGACATATTAAATAGCAACTTCAATATTGATATAAAATATGTATCTATTTTGTTTCATATTCATTCACCTTCACAGAAATTTCTCAATCTTTAATATTCTCAATATTCATTTTACTTTAATGCATGTTGTTTTCATTGCTGTGATCAGTAATGTGATTAAGTCCTGCTTGATGAAGCCTACTAATGTTTTTATTGATTGCACATTAGTCTGACAGAAGTGCAAAATACGTGCAGTACTTGGTTCTTGTCCTCAAAGAACTTACAGACTTCAAAGTCAAGCCTAATAAACAAAGAAGCTGATGTGATTGTCAGCCAGAAGTGATTGTCACCTAGAGTTAATTTGAGCAATACAGTCTATGACCTATAGACGTAAGAGGGGAGACTCTCTGGACTTTCTTGACTGTTAACTGGCCCTTGAAAATTGAACAGATTTTGAATGGGTTACAGAAGAGTAACCATAGAAGAACTATGTCTTAATGCCTGAAAGTCATAGGCCACAGGAAATGAAATTGATCTGATTCAACATGGTTGCTGAACTCTAAGGGATGAGGTCTAGATGGTTGGTCAGTATGAATGGCTTGGAGGCTGCCCATTTGGGCATGATCAGCAGAACCTGAATCTGTGATTGGCTGTGACTTTAAAATTGCTCCTTATGTGGTCCAGTCCACAAAAGTTTAAGTTTCTATTTCTGTTTCATTTATAAAATAAATTATTCTATGTTATAAATAAAGCTTTGCAAGTATCTTAATTGGAATTCATTCCATTCAGTGCACATTACTCTGTCAAATTGATTACATCATTTTGCATTCCTGCCTGGCCCTACAAGATACTGTCAATCTTGGCCAGCTTGGTATCATTTATAAGCACAAGCGAACTCTCCTGTCAACCATGTAGCCTATTTATAAAGCATTAAGCCAAATTTTTGCATTGGCTAAGGCTCTTTGATAAAGCAACCATCGTGGAAACCATGTTGACTCTTTAATAACATCAGTGTATTAGGTTGAAGCTTATGAAATTGCCACTTTCATAAGTTGAATATCAGCTGTTTTCTATGGTTCTACCCCAATAAATAGGCTTCATATCAATGGTAAAGAAAGTAGAAATGATTTAGAAGATAAAGCATTATGGTAGTGGTGATCTGGTGAATCAAGAATAAAAGACTACTCAGTGTGATTTTTTAAATTTTATATTGAATAGGACATCTTAGATCCTAAAGTATACACAGTAGAGATGGGAAATAATTTATGAGTCAAAGGTAACTTTTTTTTAAAGATGAGAGCCTTAAAAATAGAGGAATGGCTGAAAATAAACAAAATGTATACAGAATAGATAGAGACCCATCCCTTCCAAACTGGCCCAATGAAGCATCAGTAGAAGGAATATTCTAAGTTGCTTCTCCCCTGAAGTGAGAGGCTCAGTTTCATGAAACTGTTTTCACAGAAGATTCTAGGTTAAAATAAACATGGAAAAGAGTCTGCTATATTCTGTTTAAGTATGTCATGATCTATATCAGCACACTGATGAACCTCATATGTCCTATCATAAAAATATTTTTAATTTTATTTAGCTTAGAATTTGCAAAATTTTGGCTAGGAAGCCCCTTTTCTCGTGACCAGTGTTAGCATCTTAGGCGCATGCTTAGACTAACAGTGTGTCAAATGTTTTCAGCTTCTTCTTTAGCAACCTTTGGAAGGCACAGCTAGTATCAGACAGGGTCATCTGCCTTTTTTTTCTTTCTAAGCTTTATGTCTGGTAAAGGTTCCGTGATTCATTTTCTTCCCTTTAGGAAAACTCATTGAATAGGAATTGATTTCTGACTGTCACGAATTATCAAATAGCCTGTGTAACCTTGTTTAAAGATAAATATATATTTAAAAAATCGTATTCAGACTATTTTTTATAATTTTTTTAAGGTTAGTCAGAGCTTTAGCAGACCACGGGGGATTAGGTTGCTATGTTATTGTAGCAAGGTCATCTCCATTACAGTGTCAATATGGCTTCAAAAAACACCCATTTTTCAAAATAGAAGAATGTTATTTGTTATATATTAGTTTCCTGAATCTTACATAACAAAGTACCACAAATTTGGTGGCTTAAAAAAACAGAAACTTATTCCCTCACATAGATGAAGGTTGGTACTTGAAATCAGGTTGGTTTGTTCTAGAGGGTCTGAGGGAGAAACTATTGTGTGTGTCTCTCTCTCGGTTACTGGTGGTTGCAGGGCATCTTTGGCATTTCTTGGCTTTGTGGGAGCACAACTCTGATCTGATGATATTGAATATCCTTTCATAGGCTTATTTGCAATACATCTATCTTCTTTTCCCAAATTTTGCATTGAAATTTCAGTTTTATATGTATGAATATATATATAACATAATTATATATATACATATACACATACATATATACCCATATTTCTAGATATAATATATATGTCTATAAATTTATATATACATATATTTGTATGTTCATCCTGGATGCAAGTTCATTGTCATATATATGTATATATATAAAACATATATGTATATCAACATATATATACATGTATGCATATCCAGGATAATTATATATATGTATGTATTGTTATATATGCATATATGTATGGATACATGTATGTATGGATACATATATGTTACATATGCATGGATACATATATATGTATATATAAATTTTTATATATACATATATATGTATGTATGTATATCCTGGATAGAAGTTCATTGTCACAAATGTAATTTGCAAATATTCCAATTTGGAATGTGCTTTTTTTTCTATTAACAGTATCTTTTGAAGAGTAAATGGTTTTGATCTTAATTAAATCAAATTCATCATGTTTTTTCTTTAATAGTTGTTTTTGTGGCATCTACCTGAAAAACCTTTGCCTAACTCCAGGCTTATTCTTTTGCTCTTACCACAGTTTTGATTACTGTAATTTATAGTAAGTGTGGAAATCAAGTCTTCTGAGAACACTAGCTTTGTTGTTTTTAAAAATTATTTTGGCTTTTGTAGTTCATATGATTTTCTATATAAAGTTTAGAATCAGTACGTTCACATCTGCAAAAAAAAGCTTGCACAGATTTTCATAGGGATTGCATTAAATCTATAGATAAAAGTAGAGAGAATTGTCATCTTAACAATATTTAGTCTGTGAATATAGTGAAATACATTTTTTTAATGTTGTACCAGCCTTGCATCTTGAGATATACCTCATTAGGTTGTTAAGTATTCTATTTTTATGTATTTCTTTATATATTGGATTCCATTTGCTAATATTCTATTAAAGATTTGGTGATCTAAGTTTATAAGTAATATTGGCATGTAAGTTTTGTTTATTGTAAGGTATTTGTCTAGTTTTAGTATAAGAAAAATGTTGGCCTAATCAAATGATTTGAAATGCATTCTCTAATCTCCTAGTTTTTGGAAGAAGTTGTATAGAATCAGTACTATTTTATCCTTAATAGTTTGGTAGAATTTGCAAGTAAAATCATCAGAGCCTAGAATATTCCTTTTTACAAATGTTTATGATTCACTTTGTTTGACCAATATTGGGCTATTCAAGTTATTTATTTTTGATTGAATTTGGCAGATTGTGTCTTTCAAGGAATTGGCCCATTTTATTTAAGTTCCTGAACTTACAGGCATAGACTTGCCAGTATCATAAGCTTACTATCTTTTTTAACATGCATAGTGTTGGATATTATGTATGTTATTTCATGCTGATGCTGGTAATATTTGTATGTCCTATATTTTTCTTGATCAGTCTCCTTAAAAATAAATCAATTTTATTGTTATTTTCAAATAATCAGCTTTTGGTATTGTTAATTTTCTTTCTTGTTTTTCTCTTTTCAATTTCACTAATTTTTTTTCTCTAATCATTATTATTTTCTCCCTTCTCCTATCTTTGGATTTAAGTAGGTCTTCTTTTTCTATTTTCTAGGGTAGAAGTGTAAATTAATTTTAAACACTTATTCTGTTCTAATGTCAACATTTAATTCTGTGTATTTTTCTCCAAGTACTATGTTAGCTGCTTTCCACAAATTTTTGATACATTATATTTTTATTTTCATTCAGTTCTAAGTATTTTTAACAGTGCTTTAGATTTCCTGTTGACCTACAGGTTATGTAGAAGTGTGCTGTTTAATTTTTTTCAGCTCTATTTCTTTAATTTCTAGTTTGATCACATTATTATTTGATAATACAGTTTCTTTGAAATTTCTGAAGGCTTATATTATGACCCAGAAGATGATCTATCTTGTTTAATTTTCTTTGCGCATTTTAAGACTCTATCTTCTGCTGCTCTATAAATGTCAATTTGGTCAAGCTGGTAATGGTTTTGTTCGTTTTCTGTATCTTCACTAATTTTCCATATACTTGTTCTTTCAACTATGAGGAAGGAGTATTAATATCGACTACAATTGTGGATTTTTTTTCCTTTCAGTCTGTCATTTTTAAAATTTATGTATTTTGAAATGCTTTATTAAGTGTATATACCTTTAGCATTTTTAACTTAGGACATAATTACCACTATTT